TTCTTGGCTTTGGTTCCCAAGCCAGCAGCCTGGAGCTGTGGAAAGTCATGAATTCGGGTTACCAAACCATCTGCTGGCTGCATTTTAAAAAGCAATTAAAGCAAAATTGTTTCCAGCCCTTCTGTTTGCAAGATGTAGTCTAAAGAGAGAGAGCCAAGCCAGGATTTGCCTGATCCTGCCACTGCTCCAAGCATGAGTTAATTTGATTTAATTCCTCATGCTGAAAAGTGAGGAGTTCCCTGCTAAGGGCTCAGGGAGCATGCAGGTAAACAAGGCTGTGTGCTGTTCAGTTTAAATGCTGGGAAAACCCAGGAAAATGGCATTTTGAGGCTTTTAAAATTGCTTTTAATTAGAAATTATTAAACAGAGTTCAGAAAATGTAGGAAGTAGGAATACTTTTGCATGGTAGAGGATGATAGAGTGTTGCTGGAGATGGATGGATGGATGGCAGGTCTAGGCAACGTTGGAGAGTCTGAGGAGCTGTTCCTGGGGTACCCCACAAGGCTGGGGCCTGGTGTGGGGGCAAGGGGTCCCTCAGAGCCACCTCTGCTCCCGCCCTGACTCCCAGGGACCTCTCAAAGCATGAAACTCTTATTTCTTCCTTTTCTCATAGTGAAAGGCACACAGAGAGAGGGGGGAAAGGAGGTAGGGATGAAAAGAGAAGGTAGGGTGACATCATTCTTCCTTGTCCTCCTTTGGCAGCTGTCACCCTGCCAAATCAGAGGATGTCCTTGAACTGGAGGGGACGGTGAGGCCATGCCTGGTGGTGAAGGGCACAGACACAGAGGATTTAATATTCTCTGTGTTTTTATGTCTGCAGGGTTTTCATTCCTGCTCTGCTGAGAGGTCATGCCCAGGAGAGCTGGGGAATTGAATCCTCATAACCCACACAGGGCATGGCTTTGGGGGCAGCTGGGGACTGCCTGAGAGCTAGAGATGACAGGATCAAGATGCTCTGGTGCTTCAGACTGTGCTTGGTGGAAAGGTCACACACCCAGGCCAGTGGTGACAGACCTGTGATGTTCTGGGAGCAAAGGAGAGAGGGAGCAGATTTGGGATAAAGCACCTTCTTTTTCCAGCAGGGGAAGGTGAGATGCCCCAATGCTGAGTCTTGGAGAGGGTGAGATGAGATAAATCAGAGAATCCCAGAATGGTTTGGCTTGGTAGGGACTGCAAAGATCATTTAGTTCCAACACCCTGCCATGGGCAGGGACACCCTCCACTAGACCAGGCTGCCAGAGCCACGTCCAGCCTGGCCTTGGACAATTCCAGGGACAGCCACAGCTTCCCTGGGCAACCTGTGCCAGGGCCTCACCACCCTCACAGGGAAAAAGTTCTTCCTAATATCCATCTAACCCTGCTGTCTTTCAATTTCTACCCCTTCCCCCTTGTCCTGTCACTACAGTTCCTGATGATGAGTCCCTTCTTGGCTCCTCTGTAGGTACCCGCAGACACTGTAAGGTGCTGTGAGGTCTCCATGCCACCTTCTCTTCTCCAGGCTGGACAACCCCAACTTTCTCACCCTATCTCCAGAGGGGAGATGCTCTTATCAACTTTGTGGGCCTCCTCACAACAGTTCCATGTCGTTCTGATGCTGGGGGTACCACAATTGTTGAGACAAGATAAAATGAAGTGCTGGTGCTGTGTCACTGTCATATTTTCTGAAAAATCCCATTGCCCAGGATTTTTCTCCTGAGAAGCTGAGAAGCCTCAGAGAAAAAGGAAAACAATTTTTATCTCATTTGCTTCTCCTGTGTTTTGCTGCTTTGGAATGTGGTTGGAGATTGTTTACCCACAGGTGATTGTTTCACTGGTTTCATGTGAATTGTTTTGACTCTTTGGCCAATCAGGACCAAGCTGTGTCGGGACTCTGGAGAGACGAGTTTTTATTGTTATCTTTTTAGCCTTCTGTCTGTATCCTTTCTGTATTCCTTAGTACAGTTTAGTATAGTATTCTGTAATATAATATAGTATCAATAAATAATAAATTAGCCTTCTGAGCTAATTTATGGAGTCAGATTCATCATTCCTCCGTGCCACGAGGGTCCCCACAAGTACACTTTTGCTGTGCTGAGTCTGGGGAGTGCAGGATGCCGCGGGGAGAGCCCGGCTTGCCTCGTCCCCTCGCACCGTGCCAACAACCCGCTGAATGTACCACGGCTGTGCATCGAGGGGGCAAAACCCCCAAATGTTCCCTGATCAGCAGAGGGCTTAGCACAGCTGCAGAGCCTTTGCTGCTTGGTTTACAAGGAAAAAGCCCCGAGAGCAGCCCCGAGCCGAGCTTATGTAAGAGCTGGCAGCGGGGCCGGCGGTGCGGAAACCCAGCGGGGCGCAGCCGCCTTTGATTCTCTCCTGTTTGCTCAGCAGCTCTCATGCGGCGGGGGAGCGGGGCGAGGACGCGAGATTCCTGCACACTGGACTCCTCTGTTTCTCTCGGCAGGATAAACAGGACATAAAACAAAGCCCCGAGCCAGCTCTCGCCTCGGAGGCAGCGCGCTGCCAAAAGCCCCGCGGGACAGCCTGTTCCCCCGGGGAGCAGCCACCCCATGCCGGGTGCCACGGGCTGGGATGCAGGAGGCCACGGCAGCCCACCCAGCGGGGTTCTGGGGGGCTGTAGCCCCTTTGGTGGCCGGGGGAGGGTTGTCCCGTGGCAGTGAGGAGCAGGGAAATGAGGGCAAAACTCCCTGGAAGGATCCAGGTGATGAGTCCTATCAAGTTGAAGAGCCCGGGATGGATTCTCCCAGGTGACACCAGGCTGGGCACTGTGTGGCCACTGTCACCTGCCCAGCTACCCCACAAGGCAGCAGGACTGAGCCATGTCTGACCCACCGTGGGGTGCAGCAGGGAGATGAACAGGTCAAACTCTGTTCTTCTCTGCAATGGACTCTGTCTGGGTGTTTCCAGTGCTCCCTTAAAGCTGGGCTACTTTATTTACCATTTCCCTTGAGGAATAATTTCCCGGCTCTCTTGCCCCCATACTGATCCCCGCCAGTGACAGAGGGCAATGGCGCTGACCTCAGCCCTTTCCCAACACAGGATTAGCTAAACTGGCTCCTCAGAGGCACAGCCCAAACCCATGCCAGCTCCCCTAAATCTCCAGAGAACCTCGATTTCGCCACTGCTCTCCTCCTCCAAGGTGAGAAGGCAATGGGCACACACTTGCTGGTGGGGTTTGAAACCCTTCCAAACAGTTTCAAGTGGGGTTTGCTTGGGAACACAATGTCCTGTAGCCACTCTAAAGTCACTTGGTTGGGGGAAAGCATTGGCCTAGTGTGAGGATGCAGCAGAACTCCTCAGAAATGCTATTGCTGCTGAAGGAACATGAGGGGAGGGTGGTGCTGTACCCCTGTCCTGCCAGCCATGGTGGGCAGCGAGGTCCCCTCTCCCAGGACACTGCTGGGGAGTTATCCTGAGCTGCCCAGCCCCAGCTCTGCCACAAGCCTTGTGCTGCTCTGTGCACACTGGTGTGGCTGGCTTCTGCTCCCAAGAGGAAGCGCTGTGGCAGGGGAAAAGCCATCTGGGCCAAAAGCTGCTTTCCTGGCTGGGATGTGGGAGCTCTGAGGTACACACACACACACAAACCCATGGAATGCAGAGTAGGAAAGGAGGTGCTGCTCTGAGGAGGAGCGTGCCTGAGTGCCTGCTTTGGCTGCTGAGCACCCCTGCAAGTGTTTGAGCTCTGCTCCTCAAAAACCCTTGAGATCTTGGTGGCAGGGAAGATGCAGATCCTGGGACTGCTGTTTCAAACCTCTTGGCCTGGGGTTTTGTGAGAGCCAGCTTTCTCCTAGGATTCCCACTTTGGGCTTAATGGATTTGAAATACTGCAAGAGCAGCCCTTTTTCTGTTTTGTTTTGTTTTTTTCTTTTTTTTTTTTTCCCCTGATGTTTGTGTCTTTCCACTTCTGTCTCTGGCCAAGGCAAGCAGTGCCAAGGCACAAGGGCCAGGCACACCCAGAGGGAGGAATGGGGAAGCAAAGCACCCTCAAGCCGCAGGACAGCGGGGACAGAACACAAACCCAGTGGTGGGAGTGAGGAGGAGGAGGGTTTGCTTACCACCCTTGGCTGAGGGATGGCTCTCCTCACAGGGACTCATGGAATCATCGAGTGGTTTGGACTAGAAAGGACCTTGAAGATCTTCTAGTCCAGCCCCTGCCATGGGCAGGAACACCTTCCACTAGACCAGGTTATTCCAAGCCCCATCCAGCCTGGCCTTGAACACTTCAAAGGATGGGGCATCCACAACATCTTTGGGCAACTTGTGTCAGTGCTTCATCACTCTGAATGAAGAATTTCTTCCTAACATCCAATCTAAGCCTGCCCTCTGTCAGTGTAAAACCACTGCCTCTTGTCCTGTTGCTCAATGTCCTTGTCAGAAGTCCCTCCCTGACCTCCTTGGAAGCCCCTTTTCCATGCTGGAAGGTTCCTGGACTCGAGGCCAGTATCATGGCTCCCTGTCTCCTGCTCCTTCTCCGATGCTGGGTCACCTTGAGAGAGGTGAGGAGGGTCTCACAGGGGGTTCTCACAGGATTCCCACCCCTTCCCAGCCCCATGGACAGCTCTCCCTGCCCCTGCTTTGAGCAGGAATATGGGCTCCAGCTGCACGAGTGGAAAAGGCTCCAGCTCCCAAAAAGCAGCACAGGATCAAAGCTTTCGAAACACTCGGGGCATTTGGCCCGGGAGGTTTTGTTCTGACTATTTATAGCAGTTGGGGCCAAGCGAGTTCAGAGTTGGAGGAAAACTTTTCCAAAGCTGGGGGCCATTTGGATGAGGGAGGGAGAAAGGGAGTTCAGCCAGGCCCGTTTCCAGCAAATGTTGACTCCTTCCCTTAGGTATGTGTTGCTATCCATGACACACTAACAACAGCTCCGCACACAAGTGCCTGGCTGGCCCTGTAAAGATTGGAACAAAAATGTGAACTGGCTGGGAAGGAGAACATGAAAAAGAGAAAGTTTCCAAACAGCAAAGCTGTAGCATTTGAAAGCAAAAACTTTCCTCACCAGCTTGTTTTCATCTTCCAGTCAACATCCCTCAATTACAAATACACCGGGATTGTTTTCCAGGGGAAAGCTGGCGATGATTTTAGGGCAGAAAGACCAAATTATGGTTTCCTGAAGATGTGCTTGGAAATTGAGAGGAAGACCTTTTTAACTTCAAGGTGAATTTTCTGGTTTTCTAATTTTCTAGATTTTTTTTTCTCCTAAGAGCATTTCATTTTCCTGTGCTGCCCAGCAAAGGCAGGCTTAAGCTCTGAGCAAGCAAACCAATACAACATCCTTCAAATCCTCTCACCCAGACCATGAAGGCAGAGCTGGGGTTTTCTTGTCTGCCAAGTGAATTGTGCTGCTGCTGCTGTTTAGTTGTGAGGAGCACGAGGAGAGTGTTTAGATACACACCATGGCTTTTTGCATGCCTGGCTCTGCTCTCCTGATATGAGGCACTCAGTACAGGTTATAAAAATATCCCTCTAATTACCAGTAGCTTCCCAGCCATGCTCAGCATCTCCCTTTCTCCTAGGAAAAGGGTGCCATTAGGTTGGCAGGTAATTATAATCATCCTAATGTGTGGATGGCCCAAGGAAGGTGGGTTTGGCAGCTGGGTGGTGTCCAGCCCAGGTGGGCTGTACTGGGAGGAAGGTTATGCTCTTTCCTGGCATGGGTGGTATGGGATTTATCCATGCTGTAAGAGCTGAGTGCTGCAGCAGCAGACCTTGGCTTGTTTTGGGGGAGAAATTCCGTAGCTAGAAGATTTCCTTTCATACCATCACAGAGTGCTTTGGGGCTTTAGAGATCACCTAGTCCAACCCCCCTGCACTGAGCAGGTTCCTCTATACCCCATCCAACCTGGCTTTGACATCTGTGACATGCCCACCAAATCCCATCCTCTGCTCCACAGGATGCCTGTCCTTGCTGTGGGTGCTTGAACTGCACTGAAGGAGCCAGACTGTTCTCCTTCAGGGAAGGCTGCAAAATCTCCAAAGGATGAAATGACCTGTATGTGGTTGGAGAGCAGGATGAAGGTGGGTCTGGGCTGGCTGGTGGCCATGGATGGAGTTGCAGGGGGAACTGTCAGGCAAAGGGAAGGTTTCCCCTGAACCTACCCAAATGTCAGCTTCAGGACCTGGCTTATTTCATATTTCTGTGAATGACCCAAAAAAGCAGAAGAGCAATGCTGTGTGAATGAGGCAGAGCTGAGGGGGTATCAATGCCACTGGAAATAGTGGGTGTTAAAAAAAGAGAAATGGGTGACCTGAAACACAGGAGCAACAAGAATTATATGAAGAGCAGCTTTATAAAACACACCTTTGAGCCTGAGGAACAACAACACACAGTAAGATATGACTTTGCACTGTATGGAGGTACCAGAGAAGGGCTTCTGGATCTGTTCTAGCTGTCTGTGGATCTCACAGAGCCTGGGAGCCACTGCCTCAATGCTGTCATGAAAAAAGGAGATGCATCCTTCTATGACTTAGGTGACAAGGCCTCTCTGTTGATCTTAAGACCCTCATTGCAAGAGCTTCCAATACCTCCAGTGGAACAGCAGATAAAACCTGATCATCCTTCCCTAGGAAATGTAACAAGTGGAGAGAGTACAAAGGAAATCAACGTGCCATGAGTGCATTTTTTGTGAGGGTCAGACGTTTCCCTCTTCCATTTTGTTTTTTTCAACATGGCAGAGATGAAGATGCTCCAAGCCCAGTTTCCACCCTTACCCAGCAGAAGAAAATGTTCTTCCCATTTTTTTGCCTCCTAATGATAATGATCATCATCATCCATTTTGTTTTGTACGTGTCCTTGCCATGAAAGACCCTTCTTGTGCTCAGCACTAATGTTCCCAACCCTTGACTTGGAAAGGCTACACTGGCCAGCTGGACAGTCACTGGTTCACTGAGAGGCTGTCTGCTCTGCAATTAACAGCCTAAATGCCCACCATTGTGGGTGGAAAGGAGTTTTAATTAAAATCCTTTGGTATTGGCTTTGGCCAGTCCGTGGAGTGAGTGGGAATAGAGCGGAAGGGCCAGGTCAGTGACCTGGGTCACCCCAGGAGAGCATCCACTGAGCTGAGACTGAGCACAAGGTTAATAATTGCATGGGATTTTGATTTTTTTTTTCGCCTCGAGTGACCTGCCCAATGGACAATTCCAAGCTGATAGGAACGCAGACACTGCCAACCCAAAGTTGGGATAGCTCCACAGGTTGTTGGAGCCCTAATGAGGAACCATGAATAGAAGCTCACATCCACAAGGGAAAAACACCTCACTTCCTTCTCTAATGAGCGTGGCTCTCCAAATCCTTTTGTCTTGGGCTTTGCTTGGCTTTCAGAGGTGCCAAGGGTTGCATCTTCCAAGCTGCTGCCACCTACCCCATCTTCTCTCGTGATGGCCACCGGGAAGGTGCCAGGTGGCCAAGGTGGACCTGCAAAAAAAGGTGTTTGTGGTGGTGGCACAGGTCCTTGGAGGGTGACACCCCCAGACTGGAAGTTGCCCTCCACGTGCTCAGCAATGGCATGCTGAGCTCTGGACAAACCACAAGTTATTGGTGTGTACCTCCCAAAAGTGTAACCACAGGTGCTGCCTTTAAGGAGTGAGTGTCAGCTCCTCTCCGTGACAAAGAGCATCAATTAATGCAATCAATTAATGCAAACATCACACAGGAAGCGCCAGGAAACTGGAACCAGGATGGCTTTTCTGGTTGTTTGCATGAAGCAAGTCCTGATTGCTTTCATGATCCTATTTATATTCCCTCTGCTTAGAACGGGGTGATGAACTTTCTGATTTGCACACTAATGAGCAGACAAAATTAAGAAATATAAAAAAACCTAGTGGGTTTAAGAAAATGAAGAAACATTAAATATCTAGTGGGCTAACACCCATAACTTGTCACCTCAAGTCCAGCATGAGGGTCCTACCTACCCGTGTTTCCCCTGACAAAGCACCAGGGCCCTGAAGATGCTCTCCAAAATGTTACTCCAAAATCCCTTTTTATTTTTTTTTTCAAAGCTTTTTAAGGTAATTTGGGAAGTTTTCCTCCCACCCTGTCCCATCCCATCAGATGCCTGCACCTTTCCTTCAGACTTTTTCCAGAGGTACCCCAGACATTCCTGCAGGATGATGGAGAGAACAGCTGGCACAGCCTTCTGGCAAAGGGGTTTAATATTCTCTTGGGCTCTGGCCTAAAGAAATCAGTTTGCTCTCACATGTTGTAAGGAAAGAGGGAAAATAAAAGATAATTTTCTGCTGCCACTGAAGTTTCTGGCTCCTGTTTCAGGTTTAAGTTTGTGCTGTGCAGGAACACTGAGCAATTTTGGCATTTCTCAGTCAGTGCTGATGGTGGACAAGACCTTGTCCAGGTGAACCCAGGCTGCACATGGCCAGGACAGGTGTCGGTGCCCAGAGTGCCCCTGCCCAGCTCCCATCCTCTGGGGAGGGAGGAAGAGGGGGCAGTTTGGGTGGCAGGGGCTGCAAAATGGGGAGATCCCCAGTGGTAAAGCACAGGGGGGGGGGCTCCAGGGACTGCTCAGAGAGGCTCCAGGATTGGGTGAAACATCCAGCTGGGATCAGTTTAGCCCTGTGCTGGGCCAGCCACCTGGGATGAAATTAGCATTGGGGGCAAGTGGCAGGAGTTTTTTTAGTGCCCGTAGAAAAACGCCATTTTTACTGCCCAAGTGTAGCAGACAAAGAGGTTGGCTGTGTTTTTCCCTTTCCTTTCAATCCCCTTTCTGCACGGTAACACTTTCTACTTCCAGACCTCGTCTTTTTTTTTTTTTTTTCTCTTTTTCTTAACTTTTTCCCTATTTCCTCTCCCTTCCCCCTCCCCAACCACCCCCTGGGGGGGCACAGCCCTTGCCCCTTTCCCGGGGTCCCCACGCTGGCAGGGTGCCGGGGAGGTGCCAAGGCGATGCCAGCGCTTCCTGCTCCCTCCCTGCCAGCACAATGGGGACATTCAGGCGGGCACCGCGGAGCCCAGCACCAACCCCGAGCCCCCCCCTCGCCATCTCTGTCCCCCCTATCGCTGTCGCCCAAATAGCAGCATGAGACAGAGAGCAGCTGACGCCGTGTCCCAGCGCGCCGGCGGAGGCGAGCAGGAATCCAGCACCACAAAACGAGCCCTGTGCGCGCTCCCCTCCCGACGCAGGCGCGTGTGCCCCTGGTCCCCCCTCCCTCCATCCCCCCCAAAATCCCCAAGTCTGCCCAGTAACACCAAAGTGGGCTCCCTTTCCCACCCCCCCGTCCCGGCCGATCCGGCCAATCTGCGCCGCGGAGATGCGAGTGGCAGGAGGTGCTGCGGGAGCCGCAGGAACGGCATGTTTCCCTTCTCGCCTCCTTCTTCCTCCACAGCCCCTTGTTTTTCAATGCGGGGCCGGAGGGGAGGCGTGGGCTGGAGCTTGCAGGCAGCTCCCCTCCTTTTCCCAGCAAAGCAGAATAGCCTCGGAAACATAGGAGGAGATTTCATCGCTGCTCAAGGGAGCCTTGTTCTTAAGCACGGGTATTTTAGAGGTGGGACGAGAAAAGCAGGGCTTGGTCCTCCCTGGGTCCAGCCAGATCGTTTCGAGGGGTTTGTTTTTCCCCCTCCTCTTTGCTGTTTTTCCTCATCTCTGCCGGTGCTTGCAGCAGCTGCTGTGTTTGGGGAGCAGGGGCTGGAGCAGGGCTGGTGTGATTCCCGAGCTCCTGGGGCACCGGGAGTGAGGGAGAGGGATTGCCTGCTGCCCTCCAGAACTCCGCAGGACGCTGCAGGGATGAAAACACTGAACGTGCTGGATTGTTTTTAGTCCCTGTGCCTCCTCCCTGCACCAGGGCTTTTTGCAGGCCACAGGGCATGAGCTGATGGCGACTGGGAGCAGGATAATAAACCACATTTTGGTCTTACCTGGCCTGCTCCTGGGGCACCTCACCTTGCCACACCTTGAGCACAGAGGTGTCAGGGACATGCAGTGCCCATCCCTGACATAAAGGATGGGTGTTTGGACCCCAGATTGGTGGTGCAGGCAGGATAACACACCCCGTGTTTGCTGCTGAGATGCAGAGCTGTGCTGAAATGGGAGTGGTGGAGGCCAGGTGGTAGCTGCTCTTCTGTGGAGATGTAGGAGCTCTGCTGTGTCCACGGCACTGATGGCAGTGAAAAGGCTGCCCAGGGAAATGCAGGAGTCATCATCCCAGGGAGTATTTAAAAAAAATGCAGACACAACACTGGACTCAATCTTAGAGCTCTTTTCCTACCTAAATTCTATTATTCTCTGCTCTTCTAATTTGCATCCTGCTGAAGCCTCAGCCTGGGGTGTTGTGTCGTGGCTTAAAGCAAATTAATCCATATGGGATCTCAGTAAGAATCAAGGAATCCCAGAATCACTGGGCTGGAAGAGACCTTCAAGACCATCGAGTCCAACCCAGCCCCAGCACCTCAACTAAACCCTGGCACCCAGTGCCACATCCAGGCTTTGTTAAACACACCCAGGGATGGTGACTGCACCACCTCCCTGGGCAGCCATTCCAGAGCTTTATCACTCTTCCTGTGAAACACTTCTTCCTGATATCCAGCCTGTATTTCCTTGGTGCAGCTTGAGGCCGTGTGCTCTGGTTGTGTCAGTGCTGCCTGGAGCAAGAGCCCAGCCCCAGCTGAGCACAGGCACCTTTCAGGAAGGGTAAGCTGAGGACTTGAAGGCAGTGGCCTTGCAGGGAAATTTCTGCCAGCAATGGTGGCAGCCAGAGGGGATTGTCCTGACATCCCAACACTTTGCAGCCACCTCTAGAGGAGTGCCACACTCCCCTGGCTTTTTGGGATGTCGTGAAGGGATGATAGGACAAGCATCTGCTCGGCTCTGGGGATCCTAAAGGGCTGGGGGGAGAACATCTGCCTGCTGTGAGCAAAGAGGGGTCAGGCTGAGTCCTGCAGGCCCTGTGTGGGGAAAACCACAGGGACAGAGCTTGTGTGGGGCTGCAGATGTGCTGGAACACCAGCTGAGCCGTGCCAGTTGTCGAGGAGGGTGGCAGGGACAGCTGGCAGGGGCAGCGTGTCCCTGTGCGTGCTGCTGCTGCTCCACCCCGGGGCAGGCTCAGCCCCGGGCTTCTTGCACAAATGGTTTGTGTAGGCGAGGAGAGCTGGGCCCAGGGGCACGGAGCAGCCTGGGACATCCCGTGGCAGCTCTCCTGCAACAGCTGCCTGAGGGAAACTCCAGGAATTACAGCTCCCAGGGGTGAGGGCACTGCCAGGAGAGCGGCACCAGCTCAGCACCGCGGGCTCTGCCCTGCACAGGGATGGGACAGGCAGTGCTGGCGGGAGTTGTGCCAGTAAAGAGGTGTTATTTCTTAAAAAGGACTCAAGGTGTGTTTTTCATGTCCAGGCTGGGGATACAGATGGGTTTTGCAGTAGGATGAGGGTCCTCCTGGTGCAGGACAGCTCCGTGTTCATGAGACAACCAAGGCAGAGACTGCCTGGGCTCCAGCTCAGCCTTTTAGACCAAGAGGATGGGAAAGGGCAGCAGGGAGTGGGCAAGGGGGGCAGCCAGCTTTGCACCAGGGTTATGGGAGGGAGAACACCTTCAGGAGGGTGTTTGCTGAGGCATGGCCCTAGGCCTGGGGCAATTCCCATCCCTGCCTGTGATCTGAGCAGGGCAGTGGTCAGTCCAGAGCATCAGGGGTGACCTTCCCTTCATTTTTCAAACCTCAGAGGAGACTTCCCTGGAAGAACAACTAAGTTTTCTCTGAAGCAAAGATAATCTTCCCCTCCTCCCTCAGTGCTGAATACTCTGGCATCGCACCAAATCACAAAGACAACATGAAATACACCCTCATTTCCTTGGCCTCTCTTCCCAGCCATCCCCAGCAAAGAGAAGTGATACAGCATCTGCGTTTCTAGCTGCAGCCTTCTTCCAGGGCCAGGTCTTTGTCGCTTCTTTTGGTGCCAAAAGCTTTGAAATCTGTTCAAGGCGTAAATCAAGGAGCGAGCAGCACAAGCAGCATTGCATGTTAAGCCCTGCCTGCTGCTGGTAGTGCCCCAAAGGGCTTCCAGTTTGCTCAGGCTTTTAAGGTGCATCACTGAGGCCACCACGATCCCATGGCATTGCTCAGCCTCCCTGTTCAGTGCACGTGGGGAATGGAGCCACTCAAATCTTTTCCCTTCCACTGCAGGCAAAAAAAGGAAAAAAACCCAAAAAAACCCCCAAAGCCAAACACACACACACAAAAAGAAATAGGCTGGAATAAGGATTCTGGCTCTGCCCCACTGGAAGCTGCTGGCTATAACCACGATGTTGAGTCTAATTTATGGGCTAAACAGATTTGGGAGAAGCTGATCAGCAGAGAGTGGTCCTGCTGGTGTGTGCCAGGCCATTTCCTCGGGACTGGAAGCAAGATGAGATCAGAGGTATGCATGGTATCATATCCACTGTGCCTCCATCACACCAGCTCCTCGTCTTCCTCCCTCTTCTCTTTGAAAGTGACTCAGAAGCCAGAGAAGGGGCTGTCCCCATCTCCACCCCCTTGGCTTGCTGCAGGGACCTTCCCAGGACATTGCTCCCAGCTCCTCCTTGGCTGATGGTGTGATGCACAGGGATAACACTGGGAAGGGCTCCCACCCTTTTGCTGTGGGCTGCAGAGGACACAGGGGGATGGACCCACCTTACACACAGGAGTGTCTGGTTTGGGCAGGATGGGGAAAGCAGGATTTATTAAATCCTTTTGAAGGAGGATTTAGAGCCTGTAGGACATGCCTAGCCAGGAGGAAATTATTCAGTGGTGGGCTGAATAATTTCCAGCTTTGGTATCTCATGCTGCCCATTCCTTTGCACTTCACTGAGCTGCCCTTCCAGCCACCCTCCTGAGCTCAGAGCCACTCCAGCAGGAGCTGTAAATCTCTGCCATCAGCCCCGGGATTCCCATGCCCTCCTGTTTGCCACCTTTTGCCCTGGCCACTCAGACAGGGCAGGGGATTAAAGAGGGAAATAAAATTATCAGGAGGGTGTGCTTTGGGAATGACGTGCTGGACAGGGCTCAGGTGAGGCCTCTGTAATGGGGCAGGACAGGTCCCAGGGGCCAGATGCCACAGCTGGGTGTCAGAATGGGAAGAGCTGTGAAGCTTGGCATGGGGATGTGCATGCAGGCATATTTATTGCCTCTTCAGGGTTGCCTTACAGTTAAAATTTATGGTGCATCTTTTCTCTTCCAGCAGCATTTCCAGGATCCGACTCTTGGTTCCAGGACTGCAAAGATGACTCTGGGAAATGGCATGCAGTGAGT